TAGATTTGTATTAGACTACTTTTGTTGAAGGGGTAAAAAGTGTGAACCTTGCAGCTTATGGAACTGCCTTCGTATGTCTATCATATGTGCAGAGTGAATGTTTATATGCCGAAGTTTGCCTAGTACGTTATCTCGGTGACATTTTGTATGCAGTATGTTTTCAGATTGGTGAAAATGCCTTCTTTCTGTTCTACAGGGCAGGGGCATTGCACAAACCAAAGGGCATTCTTCGATATGCAAAAGTCCCAAAAGGACATGTAAAGGTTGTCTTCTCTTGATCCTCAGGTGCAACTGGAATCTGGTTGTACCCTGAATATCCATCCAAGAAACAATAGAACGTACGACCAGCCAACCTTTACAACATTTGATTAGTGAAAGGCAATGGAAAATGATCCTTTCTAGTGCCCGCATTGATCTTTCTGTAATCAACACACATACGCCACCCAGTAGTCAAACCTGTGGGCACAAGTTCATTATTGTCATTCTTCACAACTGTAATTCCAGAACGCTTGGGCACCACTTGAGTTGCACTAACCCACTTACTATCTGAAATGGGGTAGATCATCCCAGCATCTAGAAGCTTCATAACCTCAGTACGAACAACTTCTTTCATAATTGGATTCAAACGACGTTGAGCATCAACGGTGGGCTTTACTCCATCTTCCATCAGAATTCGGTGCATGCAAATTGTAGGGCTGATCCCTTTAATGTCTGCTATAGTCCAACCGATTGCATCTTGATAATTTCTTAAAATACGCAGCAATTTTTCTTCTTCTGTTGATGATAAGTCAGCAGCTATAATAACTGGCAGCGAAGAATGTGCACCCAGATAAGCGTATTTCAAGTGTCCTGGTAGTACTTTTAAATCCAATTTAGGTGGCTGTACTTTAGAGGGCTGCAATGGTTTTTTCGGTTCCCCTAAACTCTCAAAAACGTGCCTCCAACAGGGGTGTAGAAAAGGAACACTTTCCAAAGCTGAAACATACTCAAAAACCTCTTCATCTTCAGTGTTTTTATTCTCCAACCCATGCAACACCTTTAACAATGGATCTGATGTCAAACGGGGCATAATTTCAGCATGCATTAAGCTGTCTAACATGTCAACACGCATACAATCTTGCACATTAGTTAGCCTTTTGGTTATTTCGAATAAACTGAAAAACAACGGACTGATCTTGCACTCTAAGTGTAAGTGTTCCAGCCTCAACATCAATTAAGGTTCGAGCATAGCCATGAATGGACGCCCCAAAATAATCGGTGTTTGTATATCTTCATCCATGTCCAAGACCACAAAATCTGCAGGAAGGTAGAGATTATCCACTTTAATAATGAGGTCTTCAATAATTCTCTTAGGGTAAGCAACTAAACGGTCCGCCAGTTGTAGAATAACTGATGTAGGCTTGATTTCTCCTTGTCCTAGTCTCTGAAAAACAGAAAAATGCATTAAATTAATACTGGCACCCAAATCAATTAAAGCACGTTTAAAATTAGAATTTCCAATTGTGCATGAAATTGTAAAACTCACTGGGTCTTGTTTCTTTAGAGGCAGTTTGTGTAATAAAACTGCGCTGCATTGTTCTGTAAGAATAACTTTTTCAAAATCCACGAGCTTCTTTTTCTTTGTGCAAACATCCTTTAAAAACTTGGCATAAGATGGAATGTTCTTAATTGCATCAATCAATGGGAGATTGATCTGAACTTTGGCCAACGTCTTCATAAAATCTGTCAATTGTTGATCTTTAACTGTGGGCTTCAACCTTTTAGGATAAGGCATTGGAGGCACATAAACACGTTCTGCAGTTTCTGCAGCAATTTTTGCACTGTTTTCAGATCTGCCCATAGACTCTGTAGAATCTGTAACAATATCAGATTCTGCAAAATTTCCTAAATCTGTTTGTGGCTGTGATGCTGCCTGCGAATTTCCAACACAAATTTCACCTCTATTGTCATAACTTTTACCCGAACGTAGAACTCGAACTGCCTTTCAATCTGCGCCTCCCCTTGGATTATGTTCCGTTTGGCTATGAAATGTACCTAGTGCTCTTTCTGAAACTTGGAATGCAATCTGCCCTATTTGTTTTTCTATGTTTTTCACTGTTGCTTGCAGATTTTGGAATTCTTGACTAGTGGCATTTGCTAATTTTTCAATTGCAACCTCCCAAGCAGCCTTAGGCGCAACAGTTTGCTGTACCTGTTGTTGAAATTGTGGCCTTACAAGCTGATCTTTGTCCCACTTAAAATTAGGATGATCTCTCCAACCCGGGTTGTAAACATTTGAATACGGGTCATATTGTGGACGTTGAAAATTATTAAATGCATTAACTTGTTCCACTGCAAATTCTGGATAAGCATCTTTATGCGGACAGCTCAAAAAATCATGGGTTGTCACATTGCAAATGCTACA